AACTTGAAGGCTTTGCTTTTTCTGCTTATTCTACGGTGCAGTTTGGCCTTTGTGAAAACTGGTCTTGATTTTCGTTTGATAGGCCTCCCTTCTCACAACTGGGCTTCTTGTCACATGTTGGGAATCTAATGCCTTCCCATTCTGGCTGGGAATCATGGAAGGCGTGGTTCCATACATACGGAAGGCCCAAGGTTAAAGAAGGTGATGTTAACAGGTGTCTTCATGAAAGTTATTGCAGAACAATAACCAATAGTCAATTTCGTTGTATTTACTTTGTGCAATGACAATAAAGGCTATACTAAAAAAACAAGATATAAGGCAAAGGTAAAGGTTCCCCTTGTACATATGTGCTAGTCGTTCCTGACTCTAGGGGGCGGTGCTCATTTCCATTTCAAAGCTGAAGAGCCAGCGCTGTCCGAAGACGTCTCCGTGGTCATGTGGCCGGCATGACTAAATGCCAAAGGAGCACGGAACGCAGTTACCTTCCCACCAAAGGTGGCTCCTAGTTTTCTACTTGCATTTTTTACCTGCTTTTGAACTGCTAGGTTGGCAGTTCAGGGGAAAAGTCAAGGGAGCTCACTCCATTACGCAGCGCTAGGGATTTGAACCGCCGAACTTTCTGATCGACAAGCTCAGCACCACTGAGGCACCGTGTCCCCAAAGCAAGATATATTTACTCCAATATGTGAACATCCTGTCACTGGCAGCTTCACAATAAAATCATAGGAAGGTGTACTGGCTCTCTTTTATTCTGCATTTGAATGAGAATCAGCCACTATAGTGAATAGAGGCTCCTGGGACCATAGCCTGCTATTCTATAAATATCCAGCTTAGATATGGATGCTCCATCTAATTTAGTAGGCTTTTCTCAGAGTGAGCTCTCCGGAGACTTCCAGAAGTTTTGGATTACAGCATTTTTATTTTATTAAAGCAAAGTGTCAACTCTGAAGCTGGCCTGACTGAGGCCATCTTTGAGGCTTTAGTGTTGCCACAATGGAGATGAGGGTTAGGGAGGGGGAATAGAGATAGCTGGGGGGTTTTGTAGCCAAAACAAAATAGTTTCCTCTGGGAACCAAGGACATTCGCACAGGTGGCTGAAGAGAGGAGGAGTGAAGTTACCAAGCAACCGGACAGAAACTTGATTGGAACATGATTGTTTGGGAAAAAGAGGGGGGGACACTTTTACTTTTAATTAGATGAAAACCATGGGAACCTTCAGAGTCGGTTTTCACCAGTCTGTGCCAATATGATGTCTCCAATAAAACTTTCTTTGAGGAATCTACTTGCCTCAGTTACTTAGGACCCTGACATTAAACCGACTCTTAAGATATTTTCTCCATTCCAACCGGAGCGACTCTCCGGGATCCTGAGTCTCGGCTGCTCAGCTACCTGGGCAGCAGAAAAAGGAAAGACGGCGAGATGGAGGACACAAGGATTATAGGACAGAAGGCCAAAGCATCTGTGTTTAGTTATTTCTGATTAGCAGCAGCTTCCCAAGTTTCAGGAAAGTGTTTTCGGCTCCCAGCTCCCATAAGGCAGTATGTACCTACACAGACACGAATGCAGGCATGCAATACAAACATTTTAAAATGTTTTTTTCCCAGCACCGAATCTAATAAGTGGGGAGAGGTGAAAATGCTGCTGTTGTTTTAAATTCCTCGTTCAAAAAAAGTGCCAGATATCCTAAATTGGAGGTGGAAACCCCTAGAAAGTTGCTAGGCATGCAGGATTGATTTTTTAAAAAAAAAAAATAACAGTACCATCCCCAGGGAACTGCTATCCTGAGAGAGGAACCTCGCCTCACAATCAAGAAGTTGTGAGTTCAATCCTAGGTAGAGGCAGATGTAAGATTTCCTGTTTGGGTAGGGGGTTGGACTAGATGACCTGCAAGGCCCCTTCCAACTCCGTTAATCTGTTAATGCGCCTTCTGATCTGCTGTTTTTCTACCCGGCTTTTCACCCCAAAGGTGTCTCTTTTTCAAAACATCCTGCCAATCCGCCACTGTTACCGATTCGGATCTTCCAACCCATCTTCCATTGTGCTTTTTATTTTTATTTTGTTTTTAACCGCATTAAAATGCCTACCGGGAGAAGGAGAATTGGTTGCTTCGCTTGTTTTAAAGAACAACAGTTAAGACCCAAATATTTTTGTAAAAAATAAACAAATATGAAAACGTGAGGTCTCAGATTATTAATTCCCTTCTAGGCTGCATCCATATTGCACTTAGGTTCAATTCCCACCGAACCTTTACCAAAATTAAAAACAATTAATTCTTACAGGATAAAGCTTCAGCCTGAAAGACAGATTACCTGTTGGACAACTTACCTGAACTTTCTGTTGACTGCAATCAACATCTTTGTTCTATATGGGATTATTTGAGTGGTTTGGAAGACTGTGAGATCTTTTCCCCTCCCAGCGATCAGCTCTACAGTTATGGAGAGGGCCAGCATGAAAGGGCCTTTTGATTGACAGCTGTCACTGTGACCCGGACAATGCTACTATTGGCAAAACTGACCGAATAAAGGGCTTGCACAACACACTTAACCAGGTTGCTTACAACCCCTAGTGGCTGCATTCAGATGACAGCCTGTCCAGCTTGGCATCTGTCTGTTCAATGGCTTAGCTTGATGCTTGTATCCTGACCGCACTGATTAGCTTATGGAATCCTGTAAAATCTCCAACTATAGGGGAAGGAATGGCAGAGCTTGGCAATAGGCTGACTCTGTAAACCGCTTAGGGAGGACTGTAAAAGCACTACAAAGAGGCATATAAGTCTAAGTGGCATTGCTGTTCCTTCTCTCCCTTCCTCCTCTCCCTTCCTCTCCCTCCTTCCTTCCCTCCCTCCCTCCCTCCATTCCTTCCTTCCCTCCCTCCCTCTCAGTGGTTAGAATGCAGTATTGCAGGCTAAATCTGCATTCCCATTGCCAGTAGTTCGATCCTGACCAGCTCCAGGTTGACTCAGCCTTCCATCCTTCTGTGAGGACCCAGATCATTGGGGACAATATGATGACTCTGTAAAGCGCTTAGAGAGGGCTGTAAAGCACTGTAAAGCGGCATATAAGTCTAAGCGCTACTGCTGTTCCTTCTCTCCCTTTCTCCTCTTCCTTCCTCTCCCTCCTTCCTTCCTTCCTTCCCCCTCTCCATTCCCTCCTTCCCAGTGGTTAGAATGCAGTGTTGCAGGCTAATTCTGCCTATTGCCAGCAGTTCGATCCTGACCGGCTCAAGGTTGACTCAGCCTTCCATCCTTCCAAGGTGGGTAAAATGAGGATCCAATTAGGGGCAATAGGCTGACTCTATAAACCGCTTAAAGAGGGCCATAAAGCACTGTGGAGCAGCAGTATAGAAGCCTATTGGTGCCACTTACCTTGCAGGGTTTAACAAGCCCATCATTCATAAGCGCACCTAGAGGTGCTACTGGAGCTGGGAGAAACGTCCTGGGAAGGTACCCACCTCTGCTTGCTTGCACCACACGCTGATGTTCTTACGCTGCGCTTTCGTGAAATGGTCCCAGGCCTTTTGTTTGCAGGCGGAATGGTACACGGCCACGATCTGCTCGACTGCAGGTTTCAAAATCAGCAGGCAAAACCGGGCCACAATATCATCCAAAGGGGGATGGGGGTGGGGGTAGGGGAGGGAGGGGCAAGAAAAAGGAGTAAAGGAGTAAGAAAGCGCAATTTTT